TCGGCAGGGATTTCACGGGGAAGGGGTGCAGGGAGAGCTCGCTGGGGAGCGCAGCAGGGATGCACAGGGAAAGGGGGTGCAGGCAGAGTGCAGTGGGGAACACAGAACGGATGCAAAGGAGCAGAGGGTGGACCGAGAGGTCAGCGAGGAGCGCACCGCGGACGCGCAGGGAAGGGGTGAACGGGCAAAGGCGCGCACGGAGAGTGCACGGGAGATGCCCGGGAAAGGGGGTGCGGGGAGAGCCGGCGCGGGGGGATGCAGGGGGGAGCCGGGATCCCTTCACCTCCTCCGGCGTCGGTGGGAGCCCGCTGTCGCTCGGTGCGGCTCCGGCCGTGCGGATCCAGCGCTCTCCCTGCGCTGCCGGAGCGGGGGGGCCCCGGGGCGGCTCCGGGGCGGCCGCTCCCGCCCGGCCCGGCGCATCGCGCCCCCAGCCTGGGGAGGGGACCCCGGGCCCTGCTGGGCACAGGGGCTCGGGCCGGGGGCGCTTTGCCCCAGTATGCAGGGTAAATATCTGTTAGTGATTTACACCCCGGGCCGGGGCTGGGTGCCCCAGAGGGAGCTGGACACTCAAAATCTGGGGGGTTTTCCTTCTTGCTTCCCCATGTGGCAGTCACTGGGAGAGGGCTTGTTCAATCCCGAGGGCTACAGGAGTGTTTTTTTAAGGAATGGGGGTTCCTCTCCGGCTGCAAATGTGTCCAGCATGCAGCTGAATCCTTGCACCAAAGCACCCGAGGTGAGCCCAGGTTTGCAGGGGAAACTGCATTTCTCCCCAGGGCTGGGGGCTCAGGCTGATTCACTGCAGCGAGAACAGATTTTTGTCACGTTTTGTCTTCTTTTCCTGCAAAAAATGCCTATTTTGTTCCTTCAGAGCCTTCACAGATGGAAGTCTTGGGACTGGCCAGTGCAATCAGCTCTCCAAGGACTCTTCATGTGGCCCCCAGGGTGCTTTGCTTTGTTCCCGTGGAGAAGAGAAATATTTAATGCATCAATTACTGCTGTAAGTAACCCACTCCACAGCTTCCCAGTTCTCTTCATGGGTGTTCAGAGCTGAGCCTGCCAGCAGTGCAGGGACACCCACAGCCCTGTGACATTGCCAGGGTAGGATACAGAGCCCCTTTCACCTTCAGCAGCCCAGAAGAAGCCCCACAAACCCAGCTCCTGTTTGGACAAGGTATGTGGGGGATTGGATAGACCCCTTTGGTGTGAGGATGAGATGCTCCTGACGTTACCTTGCATGGGTGGTTATTTGGGCAGGAGTGCAGCAGGATGGGGATCTGGCCTCCAAATCCCCAAAAGTCACATTATTGGACTACCAGCCCTTACAGGCTGCAGGGGCAGGTGGCACGGGGATGATCTCTGCATGGGGTGAGTGTTTGGAGCTGGTGACCCTCAGTGGATTTATCCCTGAGACACCCAAGGCAGCTCAGCCCCACAGAAAGGCTCTCACCAAGGCCCTGCTCGATGCAGCGCTGTGGGTTTGCGTGATCTTCCTCTCCCTCTGCCCTGCAGCAGGAATCCACACACTGAGCCAGCGGCTGGCAGCTTTATCCTTCCACTTACAGACTGCAGAGGAGCAGCAAAGCTTTGTGTCAGTGTATGAGGAAGAAACGTGCCTGTGCCACACCTGGTGGCTGCTCTGCCACTGGAGCGGGTCCCTTGCCTGGGGCACCCGAAGGTGGGTGCTGCCTTCATCAGTCTAATCCGAGTCTGTCTGAACCACAGAGAAGGGTAGTTGTTTGTAAAACAGGCTTTAATTGCCATGTCTGCTTAGTTCAGCATCATCCTGGAGCCCAGTTTGGTTTGGACAGGGCATGGATCCCTGGGAGATGTGCTGGGAACCTGGAGCAGACAGACACAGTTTAGGAGATTTGCTACAGAAAGCTGCAGCTTGAGGGTTTGGTTGATTTTTTTTTTTTTCCCTTTAAGTTTTCCATCCATGAGAAGGAAGGAGAACTTTGAAACCAGGAATAAGAGATCACAGTTGAGGCCTTGGAAGGGGAGAGGAGCCAAAATTTCTGCTTGCTGTCGTGTGGCAGGAGCAAAGAGCAGCCAGGCAGGCAGAGCCCAGGCTGGCAAAGATAGGTCTGGGCCTGGAGGGAGCAGCTCG